CTTGATGGCCACACAGCATGCACTTGCACCTTTTCCAACCCCTCCTGGACAGGTACTGTCCCCTCCAACACCCTTTTGCCTTCTAGAAGGATATACTACATACACCTAGATTGAGAGAAAATGGAAATGGCAATAACACTCAAGGATCTTGATCAATATTTTAGGACAAAACACTCATAGGATTCGCATTTTCAGTATTTGGAGGAACTAATCCAAAATCGTGGATAAGGAGATGCAACGAATATTTTCAGATGGAATTCCTAATGAGCAGAGAATGAAGTTAGCATTATCTTTTTCTGATTATCTTTTTAGATTACATCTAATTTTTTATGAAATATTTTTTATTTATTAGCTGTAATTTAAAGAACTAAATGCTCATTTTTTTAATTTCAGTACGTTTCTCATCTCTTTGCTAACCTCAAATAAGTTTCTTAATCACTTGTAACTCTTATTTTTCTTTTAATTCCCTCATTATGTTCACCCCCATCTAGGCTTTTTTTTTTAAGCTCTTATAATCTCTTTTTTCCCTTTACAAATGCCTTTATCTCGTTTGTTCTTCTCTTCTCTTTTTATAGATTCGAAGGCTTTTTCTCCAAGCTTCCTTAGACTCTTTTTTATTTTTAGAATTGCTCTCATTAGCTCCGTCAGCTTCAAAGCTCTCATCTTTTGACTTGTCTTTCCCGTACTTGAAGATTGATTAAAGATAAATTGGAGTTTAGATTGATTGGTTAGAAAATTTCTTTCAGAAATAACTAAAATCACTCTAAATAGGTTACGTTTGTCTTTCATGTCAATATATTTTATATTTTTATTGAAAATATTCACTATTTACTATAAGTAAGTTGAATATATGTTTAAGAGGGTTCTATTAGATAAACTGATAAATAAGAGAAAAATTCACTCGATTAATTGAAAAGTAATTTGTTTAAAGAGAGAAAAATTCGTAATTTAGCTTTTGAAGTGTATATTAGGTCTCTTTGACTCGGCTTGAGTTAATTAAGAACGGATAAGATGATTTTTTTTTAATGGGTCTTTTTGACTTTTTGTTTGAAAAGAGGCTTTGCTCTGTTAATCTTTTGCTATAAATAATTAGGCTTTATGCATACAAGATGGTAAAATCCAATCCAACCCAACCCAACATAACATTTCCTTTCTCTTTTCTTGCGAATTTAGAACCTTTTGGGTTGATAAGATTAGAATATAACAATGTGTATGTATCTATATACGTGCATACACGTGTTGTGTATGTATACATGTATTATTAACTCATATAACTAGGGCTCTATATATTAAATTGAATCAATCCAAAACCACTCATCTAAACTCTTGTTTCTATTTGCTTAATTTGTAATTTGGTTTGTCGTCATTATTGTTGATTACTGCTCATATGAGGGAGGAATATTCTCGTGCTAATTTAAATTATTAACACCATATTCATTTTCCCACTCAAAAGGAAAAAAGAAATCCACAGCAACAGACCCAATTCAATTGATTATGGATATTGTTGGTTGATATATACATATCATTATATATATATATATATATGCATACCCAACAACATATACTGCCATTTTAAACAATGACCTGATAAACCATGCATAAATCTCGCCAAAAAAAATTGGCCTTTCACGTGTATGCAGTAAAGAATATGGTAAAATGACACAGGCCATAGCTAGGTATAACCATTAAGGTAGGATTCATCACAGATTACAAATAAAATATGGAGGACTCAGATAATTAATGCTCTTCACAAGTAACATGACATGTTTTGGCTTTAATCTTATGAAATGCAATATATATATATATATATATATATATATTTACACACACATGCATACATATACATATATATGTATGTATATCATATCTTGAATTTTACTTTTGATCTTAATATATGCATCTATGTCATATGTTGAAATTTGCTTTTAATCTTGATTAATTTTCTTGTGCCAATAAATAATAATTATAACTACCATATATTAAAAGTAACTCATAATTTATATATATGTAACCTAATTAATTATTGAAATATAAAAATAATGTAGAAAAAATTAATGTGAAAACCATACTTAGCCCGTTTATTTATGGAACTAATTAATATTATAAGTTCCATACCCTACAATAAAAGACAAACAATATAGAACATATATATATATATATATAATGTATAAAGAAAAACGTTGTGGGTGGGAACTAGGAGAGATGGAACTTACTCGGTCAACATTAGTTACCTCCTTGAGCCCTTTCTATACGGATAGTTCTATATATATATATATATACACTTAGTCACACATACATATATATTACCCTACAACCTCTCCCCATGATGATTTCAAACAAAAGAACCTGAAATGTTATCTTCTTATACTCTCTCACTGTATCTCAGTTTCTGTCTACCTATACCTACATGTACATAGATAAACACACACTCCCGTGGGTGTGTGTGTGTGTATATATATATATAGTTAAGAAAGAGTACTAGCTTTGATTACACATGCATAATATAAATTAACGAAGATTAACATATAATTAATAAGGTTTGTAAGTTTGTGTTTTATTAAATGGAGAAATGTGGAGGGTGGGTATGAACATAGAAGCGATCATGTTACATGTATAATACGATATGTATAAAGGATATATACATATATATAAAAGGAAGACAAGGAGTAATAGGATAACGTGGGTTTGCGTGGCGAGAGTGACACAGAGAGGGTCAGATCGTTGGGTGATACACGAGCACATCTCTCTTTTCCCACTTGAACTCTAACCCCAGTTTGGGGACACCAAGAGAAGGACAGTATGGCCTCTCAAACCCTAATTTATTTTCCTATTTTATATTTTATATTTAACCAACATAGCCCACAGCTTTCTCCCATGCACTTGTCTTCTTCCACCCAAACACCTACACTGACAAATTGTATATCTCTGTCTGTACCATTCTTTTCAATACTTGATATAATCATTAATTACTATCTCTAATACCATACACATATAATCTTTCAATTTATGCATCATTTGTTTGTAAGGTTAAATGAGTTAATTTGTGTAAACCCTAATAACTAAAAACGTAGTAATAGGTTTGAACATGTTTAAAGTGGTTAAAGTAGGGTTTTTCTTAAACCCAAATTAATTTTTTAGTTAACGGGTATGTATAAATGAGTTTAATTCGTTAATGACTTAATTAAAGGATTGAGATTAAACTCAAATATGTTTTATTTTCATGTCTAAACATGTCATATAAAAAACATAAAGGGTATTAAATTGAGCTAGTACTACAAACACCCACCCATCTCTTCATTTCTTAATAATTTCCTATCTCTATCATATAATACTAGATACTCTTTATATATACATATATATTTGTTAAATTATAATATACATGTTCAGGGTTACCTTATCTCTTTCTCTTTATAAGCACTACTTCTCATTTGCTCTCTCCTCAGCTTACCTCTCTTAAATTCTCTCTCTCTCTCTCTCTCTCCCTAATTACATCTCTCTCTGTTTCTTTTTATGCATGCCCATTTCTCCTGCATTATTCTTCACTACCACTGACAAAACCCCACTGCAATTCCCATATTCCTTTGCGTAATTGCTATCTTCTTCCGCACATATATATACATATACCCATCACTTTGTACACCCATCACTTTGCCTGACAACCTGTTACACACGTATATACATACGCCCATACAAACAGAGTGAGAAAGAAGAAAAAGAAAGAGAGAAAATGTCTAGCAGAAGATCACGTTCAAGACAGTCAAGTAGTTCGAGAATCAGTGACGACCAGATCACGGAGCTCATCACCAAATTGCAACAACTTATCCCTGAGCTCCGCCATAGACGCTCAGACAAGGTAGCTTTCATTCATTTTCTCTTTCTGCCCATATTATGTTTCAAACTTGTGTGGCTACTATTTTCCTTTCTAGATAACTCACATTCTCATTTAATTTCTCATCCTGCAACTTGATGGGTGGGACTCCATTTGTTCCCTATACATCCACATATACACACACACATTTATATCATCATCATCACGTATCATATCTATATATACTTACACTTGAGATACCCATAACAAATTACAAATTATATATATATATATATATATAGAAATGAGTTACTACATGTACTGCTACTTAATTAAACAAATTAATCATAATGATCATTAGTAGCTGACCTATACGTATGTGTGTGTGTATGTACATATAACATAGTGGGTGTATGGATATTGATGCAGTTATCAGCTTCAAAGGTGTTACAGGAGACTTGTAACTACATCAGGAATCTGCACAGAGAAGTGGATGATTTAAGCGATCGCTTGTCTGCTCTTTTGGCTTCAACCGACAGTGATAGTCCTGAGGCTGCAATTATTAGAAGTTTACTTATGTAATATCTATATATATTTATAGAGAGAAAGAGAGAGAACTGTTCATCAGATTCTCCTTTTTAATTGCTATATAATATATGTTCTTGCACTTTTTTTTCATTAAAAATTATGTATATCTAGGGTTTAATTAGTTGGTCACTGTAGACCACCACAAGGGTACACATGGACTATATATAGTTATCTACTAAACTATATATATATATATATATGTCATGCTTTAATGCCCTTAATTAATTTTATCTTTCTAATTAGCGATTAGCTAATTAATATACTTGTCTATTAATAAAAATTAAGAACTCCTACAGAGTTTTCAATTTCGAGCTTATTCTACAGACACACACACATATATACGTGAACGTAGTACTGCACTAATATTTAAATAAACACCTAATTAAGACATAATCAATTGTTAAAGTTATCTAATCTAATGCTTGGTTATTAAATTAATTAATCGTAACAGTGCTTGATTCATGTGTGACTTGATATTTTTCCCAAGTTTAATTAATTAATTAATTAATTAATAATTTGTTTGATATAATTAATTAATACGGTAGTGTATATGTATATATATATATATGTATATGTATATATATTAATTAATGTGATATGTCTATATGGGAGAATTAAATTTGAGGAGGCGAAAAGGTCAACCTTGAAGCTGACATTGACAACGCCAAGCATGTGACTTTGGGCTACCCCACTCCAATTTAATTTTTTCTAATGTTTTTCCTACCATATATATATATATATATATGTATATATATTACCACGTATACATATACATGTATATAACCCACCCGTGATATGTTATAGCAATATTATTTCATTTTGGACACTCAATTAAACTCGTGAAATTAACATGAAATTTTTTCTCACGAGTTCATACACACACACACACACGCAGACACTCTTGAATGGTGTATTAGAATACGTACGTATAGTAGCTATAGCGTCATTATGTATATATATATATTAAAAATATAAGTATACAAATGAACATGTCGAACCGGGCCCAAATTTAAAAGTCCAAACAAATTTAGTCCATTGGCCCGGCCCATTAAAAACTGGGTTTGGGCTTGACTTGATCTTAATGGGTCAGGCCCGAACCGTCCCATAGGCCATAATTTTTAGTTCATTTCAGATAGAAATTTAATTTTTTAAGTTCTATTATTGTTCTGATATTTTATTAGTTTTTTTACTAATTTTTTTTTTTGGTTTTATTATTGTTTATTATTCATCTTATTACTAAAAATTTTAATACTTCAGAGCTGGACCAAGAATAAGACTTCAATTTAAACAATCAATTGTGATTGAATTTGAAAATGTACTTTTCTGTTTCACTAAAAATATTTAGAAGTTTCTGAATGCATTTCACAAAAATTCATGATATCTTCCGAACCTCGACTTAAGCCTATGTATAATCTTTAACCTTTGGTGTCATAACACATCAATTACAGGAAAGCAAAATTGATTGAATGTCATATTTGACTCAGTTCTGGGTTTCGAGAGAGTCATGAGGAGCTCCGATATGAAGAAATACCTTTCCAGCAACTTTGCACCTGTTAATCTTGTTAAACCATTAAAGTTCTACTTTACACGAACAAAAACTCTCTACTTTCTTCGCTCCATTGATCAAAATCGAGATTGCAGGCACTGCTGTTCTATCTAGGCTCCGAAAATCAACTACAAAGTTAAAAGCCCCCACCGATTATACGAACAAATGAAGCTTATGCAAGCATAACAATGCCTCAGCATGTCATCTCTCTATTGGCTCTGACTAACAGATCACTGAAAAACTATAATAAATATAGAAATTCTGAAAAGGTAACTATACACAATCTTACATTCATATATTCCTTCATTCTTCATATTTAAGAAGGAAATACCTACTTAAGTTTATGACTGCATGTAGCTCACTGCGTGCCCAACACAAACCATGCCAAAGCGAGAATAAACAGCAATAGAATTGGATCGGAGCTATTTCTTATTATTTGCCACAGGAATGAACTTGCCACTTTTACTTTTTATCCAGATTGTAGACCGGGTTCTCTTAACATGATCTGCAAAAAGCCGGTACCTGCCATAAAAGATTGCATGTTCGAAGGATGATCAATGCCAAAAGTTTTAATCACCAAAGATGCACTTCAATATTTGCACAAATGATGCAAAATCTATACAGCTTCATACTATACCCTGATCAGAGTTATATTCAAGTTTTAAGATGCACAAAAGAAACAAAGTTTTTATATAACACTTCAGCAAATAGAGAACAAGGCAGAATTCCAACAGAGTAAAGATTGTGTTACTTGTCAGACTAATGAGAATGATCAGCAACCAATTATTAAGATTAATGGACAGACTGAAAACAAAATGCATCTCCCATGAAGAAAAATATTATTTTTGCACAATTACACCATATAATAATACCAACCTTTCATACTCCAGCTTCTGAGTAACAATTCCATTCAATAGCAGCTCTGAGCTATAAACTGCTGCCCCTGCAAATATGGAGCAAGCATAATTTTTATCAGTCTCTAATTAAGGATTTATTAAAAAAATGTAGAACCATATACACAATCCTAACCTCTTTCAAGGAAAGGCACACATATGTCATAATCCTCTTCACAAGACAAAACCAGAAGATCATCTAGACTTTATCATCGTTCAGAGCAGATCTAGCAATTCTCTCCACCACCTGAAAAGGATTTTACTCATAGATCAGTTCCCAAAAGAGTTTTTCACAGAAGCTGGAGTAATTGAAAATTTTCATGTATGACTTTCACGGAGGTGACCCGCAGCTTTAGCATAAATCAGCATAAAATCCAATATGTATAAACTTAAGATTATAGTTGTGTGGATATACAAGGAAATACGGCCTCATTTGTACCTTAATGCACCTTATTTGTACCTTAATTATGCCTTCTTTATAATCATAATTCACTAAAAATAAAGGTCAAAAAACAGAGAGCACTCCAGCACAAAGGTTTCTATGTGAGAGAAGAACAGCAGTTTGAGAAAAAGATAACAGAAGGTTGAAAGAACTAGAATCCAAAATTTAGAATCGCCAGAAAGTTATAACAGAACCCAAGGAAGTAGAACAAGACAATCAGGAAACCAAGAAAAATAATCAGCATCCAACTTGAACAAAGAAACCACCCAAAACCTTGAATGATGATATCCAGCCAATACTCCATATTATTGGAATGCGCAGATGAAAATTGCTTTGAAAACCTAAGGTGAATTAGCGAAAAAGAAGAAGGTAATTCGAGAAAAAACGTACCAGACCCTCAACTGCCCTAACCAAAGTTGAAATTGTTTCTTTACCAGGCTTCATATTTGGAGTAACCAGCACTTTTCGCCCCTGTAAAATTGTCCTACAATTAGCAAAAAGGCAGGAAAAAGAAAATCTAGCAAAAGAAACATGAAAGAACATTCTACCCGCAAGAGTGGACACTGACGTGCACATGCCAAAGAAGCAGGCATCCTAAAGCCCAAGTCCTTCTCCTTTTTCGTGTCCCTTAGTATGTAACTTTCCTCATCAATGTAAATGTTAACCTGTCCAATGCTCTCAATCCATAAAGGTGTGACTATAGGTTTGCCAGCAGCAATTGCCTCTAACATATTCCTTGTGCGCACAAATGTATCTGCTATGAAGTGGGTTGCATCCATAATGGAGGATGCTAAAGAAATTCCTAGCCGAGCCAAAATCTGTGGGAAGAAAAAATTAATGACATGTTGTTCAATCAAATTTCATGCAACCAAACAGTGCAACAGCAATAGCATATATTACCTTTTTCTGTTGCTTAATTACATCCTCATCCAAGTGGTGGCTGAACAAAACTCTAAGATTGGATAAATTTCTTCTTTTTCTAGACTCTTTCGACGAAGGCAAAGCCAGAGGCTCAGTTAGACCAGTGACTTCTTTCAAAAGGCGTGATCCTGACAGTCTCTTCTCGCATGATTTTCTAAAATATTCTTCACCCGCGCAAATGGGTGATGCAGTACTTACAGGCATCATCGAGTTAACTTGGGTAGTTTTGGTGAATGAGTTATCTGGCGTATTACATACTAAATTAGACACTTCACTATTCCCCCTTACTGATCTTTGAATCCTAGAATTGGCTTCTGTTTTTTCTTCAGATGGTAAAGAATCTAAATTACTCCTTTTAGAATGTTTTAGGACCTCAGTTTCAGTTAAAGCTGTAGATATTGTCTGCCCATTTACAGTAGAACAATTACATGCAGCATCCCCTGAATTTTCTTTTTCCAAACTTTCCTTCCTTTGTTGCAAAAGTTCTGGACGTGCATCCTGAGATAACTGCATTTTTCTTCTCATGGTTGAATCAATGTTAGAACTTATGCCATTCCTCACTGATCTTTCACATCCACCAATATCTTGTCTAATCTCTTCAGGCAGCACAGACAATTTGTGTTGAGTACCCAAGTTATCATATTTAGTAATCTTACCTGACAAATTTCGGCAAGATCTTCTACGTCTTGGATAGCTTGATACATTACCATCCTTTTCCAGTTGATTCTGCATCATGGAGTGTCTTGTTCGGTGGGCAATGGGTGAATCCTCCTGTATATGCTGGTTTTTTACTGAGCTATGTCCACTCAGTTCACTGGGGCTTTCATGTCGGCTACTCTCCGAAGCTCCTACTTTCTTTCTTTTCTTAGTTACCTTCGTAGGCATCTTCTTCATGTTTTCACTGCATTTGACAGGGAAACGGGCTTCAGCATTTGACCTAGTCCTCTTGCTTTTTGTTATTATAAGTTCAGTGCCACAGTCTACTGAATTTTTTGGACGCTTGTGAACTGACGAATCTTCCATCAACAAAGCATTAGTTCTCTTTGTTCTCTTGCAATTCCTTGGTCCAACAATGTCAGAAGGGCATAACTGCTCTCCTGACGACAGTTGCTTTCCTATTAAAGAACACTCCTGACCCACTTTGTTTTGAAGACATTGATGGACATCATTATCATTAATACTGACCATGCCCTCCCCATAAAATAAGGCTTCCATAGCTTCAGCAGCCATTTGTGTGTCAACACCAACACCTGGCATTTCAGGCATATCTGCTTTGGTGGCATTCCCACTTGATAGTCCCATTGAAGGATCAGTATTAAACTGTTCATCCAGATCACTGACAAGATTCCTTTTAGATTTCTTTCCAACAGCTTGGACACTCTTTTCACTCTCTTTTACTTTATGCAAATTTAATCTTGAATCAGAATAAGCCATTATTTTGCCATGGTCATTTAGTAGTTCTTTCTTATCCCTCAATTCACTAAGTCCTTTTCCTTTCGGCTTTTTAGGTAAGCTAATAGACTTCCATGCCCGATCTCTAAAACCCAACAAGTCTTCTTTCCTTCTGCAAAAAAAATCTCCACCTCCTTCATCCTCACAATTATCATCCCAGTCAAAAATCCCAGTTGCTGCAACAGTGGTTCTGGTACTTCTATTTTTGGCAAAGTTTTGTGCCCCCTTAGCACTAGAAAGATGTTCAGATTTTCCTCCAGCAGCCTTTCCATTGTCAACTTCCTTATCAAGTTCTGTACAATGGTCATTAATGAACTGCTCTATGAAGTTAAGTGCATTGGCCTGTGATGCCTCTCCAGGTTCTTGAGAATCAACATAACTTAAGCCTCCCAATTCTCCATCATAAGAGGGAAACTGAAGCGTGTTATCTCCTCCACCAATGTTATTATTATTGCATGGAGATCTTTCATTTTGCATAAGTGAGTCATCAGTAAAAAGCTTTCTCACTGTTTTGGTTCCAATCTTTAACCCTTTTATTGTCTCAATGCATCCTCCGAAATGAGGAAGCTGATCCACTTCCTCCCCAGCTTTGGATTCTAACCGTTTACTGTTCATGGTGCATTGATCAGAGGAATAGCAATTAGTCAGAACAGAAAAGGATCCACTGCTTGTTCCTTTTGAAGCTGCATTTCGAGCTGCTAAACCAGAGGCATGACAAGAAGCTGTGCGAACTGATGTAAAGCATGCAGCAGATCCTGAGCAAAAATAAAAACATCAGTACAAGACAAAAATCTGAAGTCCCCACAAAGATAACCAAGTTTAAAAAATACAGAAAAAGGTAACTCTCGTTTGGACATACTTAAGATGGAGGCGTTAGTCTTAGGGAGTAAATAAGTCAAATATAAGTTCTGGTGTGACCTTCAGAAAAATAAATTGTTATTATTAAAACAATCGGAAAATCAATAAATTGACACAGATCAGAAAGAAAATATCTTGAACAATACCCGCAATGATTAGTAAAATCTCACGAAGCACAAACTGGTCATAGTAAGAAAATAATGAAGAAAAATTAAAATATAGTAACAAATAATCAAAATGTCATGAAAGAAAACAGGGCTTGAGATAATATATGGTGGTTAAAGAAAACGCAATAGTCTGGAAAACAACATTTAGAAAAACACAAAAGCTCAGTGGACATCAAATTAGAATTTTATGTTTCAGTGTTTAATAAACATTCAAAATTAACGATGGATTATGCTCTTGGTACATGATTTAGCCAAAAATGAGAATTATATATTAAAAAATGAGTAGAGCAAGCACAGGTGCCAGGTTGTAATTCTGGGGTGCCTTAATCAACTGATGTTGCAGTAGACAGCTTATAGCCTGATAAATATTAAGAAATAAGGGTCAGAGGTAACTTGTTTCAATGCAAAAGTTAGAAGGAGATAATAATTTGAGCCTTATGTTTCATTGTTAATGTTAATTTCAAGAAATCTCATCCATAAAAAATAATTTTTCAAAAAAAAAAAAGAAAGATTAAACCAAGAAATTGCTATTTGTTTGAAGAAAAGGTACTAATCATCAGACCAGTTGCATACTTGTATCTTCCTCTTTTGTTTCCCAGACAACGGATAAAATGAACAGGATTGCACGGCCTTAAGTAATAAACCTAATGACTAAAAAAAGGAAATAGAATACCAGCCAATGCATAAAAAGAATTATATTGCATCAAATGATGTAATTGCTATTCATGCAACCAATGAACATAAATTTGCTAATTCCTTAGCACAAAAGAAAAAGAATACCTGTACTTTTTCTTCCATTCATCAATGAATCAGATTGCTTAGGTGTTTCCTTCTCATCATCTTCACAAGGAGAAGTATGTTGAATCTTCTCCCCGTCAGATGACAGACCATTGCCTCTTCTTGATGATCCATCATCAAAGGCCATCTCATTATCATCCAGAACTTCAGTTTCATCTGACCCTTCGCCATCACTATTGGGAATAATTTCATCATGAAACCCATCTAAATATTGTGTCTCAACATAATCCAGGTCAACCAGTACTTGAGTTTCACCAGGAAGATTCAGTAATTGGGTTTCACCAGCTAGATTAAGCATTTGGGTTTCACCAGCAAAGTCCATTACTTGAGTATCGATTGCATCTTCTACTGAAACATTATCCTCAAAAGGTATTGTGTCATGTACATAAAAATTGTCATCATCCGGAAGATTGAAAGTTTCACCTGTTCGTGTGAAGGAATCTCTCATAAGTAATTTGTAAAAAGCAACTAAAAACCAAAACTCCAAATTTCAAAACGCAAGCGAAATATCAGTGGAAGATACCTTCTGCCCATACAACCCCTCTTCCGAATAAAAAAAAAAAGAAAAAGAAAGAAAGACAAGCTGCAATGAAGAAACATTTTGTGAAAAAATACTAACAATAGCAATCACCAAATATTTGATAGGACGCCACAAGCGTTATATGTCTGAGATGATGTAGATGATTCTTAGTAGATGATGGTTAGTTACAATTGCTAGGTAGATTAGTTACAAACACGGAGAACTATTGGCTGTGAGAGGGAGAGGAAAGCCTAGTCGCAATACATTGAACGAATGAAATTAAATTATAATTCATTCTGTTTCTTCTATCTGCATCACTCTACCCCTCTGTTGTGGAACACCTCTCTAAATTCTCTTCTTTCTGTATGTCCCGTATCAAAGTTACGGAAGTACTAAATTACACACTCGCGAGCTTCAACAAAAAAAACTCCTCCTTTTAAGGCATCAAACGAGAAAATCAATGTAAAGGACATACTTTCACAAGAAGACGAAAGTATCAACTATTACCATACGGCGATAGCGGTGGAGATTGAGAATCTAACGGCTGTGTCTCGTTACGGACAGAATCGACATTTGCATTGGCTCGAATCGGACTGAGTCCAGCATTTATATCACCAGGAGGAGCCATTCGATTCAGCTGCAAATAAATAAGTGACACTCTAAATTAAATCACCGATCTCCACACCAAAGATGAAGAGTTCTGCACGTATAATTTACGACGGAAAAAGTTCGACTGCGAAATTAGGGAAATATCGTTGATGTAAATAAAGAAAAATCGATGAGAAGCATACCGCAGTGAAAGACTTTGCAGCATAGAGAGCGGAGAAGTTAGGGTTGCAGATGGCTGGACTCTGGAAAGTGGAGTAAGAGAAGAGGGAAGAGAATTTTGGAGGGAAAAATGGCAGTACCAACCGCAACCAATTTCGTGATGGTTTTAACTGCGACAATCGGAATTTACCCTGCTGATCCACGAACAGAGACTAAACCGGACCGAGCAGGCCGGTCTGAACCGAGTCACTGTATTAAAATTATTTTTTTAAGAAATTCTCAAAATTCTTTTGGAATACACAAATTAGTTAATGGAATTTATTTGTAAAATTACATTAATTTTATTTATAAGAATTGATTTTTTAATATTAGAATAATGAATTGGGTAAAAGAAAAATTAATGAGCAAATTAATCAAAATAAACTTTTATCCAATAATGAATTAAAAAGACGAGCATTATGATTCAAAATTAATATTATTATTTTTCTGATCTATACTAACAAATTATGATCGTGACAATCTAGTTTAATGATAACTGCATAAATAATAATAAAAATAAAAATAATAATAATATTATTATTAATAAAAATAAAAATAATAATATATATTGACTTAGTAAAATCAGTGTTGATGATTATAATAACTAAAGTGACATAAAAATATAATATTAATAATATTTGTGATAGTAATATCATAATATTAATAATAAATAAAAAAAGACTATTATAATATTAATAAATAGTAATAATAATAGTAATATTATAAAGAATTATATATATTTTTATTATAATATGATACTAAATATATTCAATGTAGTATTATGTCATCAAAATATTGGTAAATTAGGAAAAAAATAAAGTACCAATAGTGTTATTTATGTAAATAAGATATAAAAATGTAAAAGTATATATATATATATTATGGAAACTAAAAATATGATAAATATTAAATATTTCTTGTAAATTTTTAAAATTCAATGATATTGTCGTCACATTACTATTTTTTTTAATTCGAATTTAAATTTAATATTTTGGTCATATTTTAATAACTTATCCAATAATTATATATATATATTTTTTCAGAAAATAAAGTTTAAAACGATTAAACGACGGGGAAGTATCCAACGTAAGGCAATAGAATTTCCGACCCAAAAAAATCAGATGACGTCATTTCTTCCCAGAAATTTATTTTATAATTTATATATATTTTTTTTTTTGTTAAAGAGAAGTTATTTATATTCATATACCAAAAATATCGTCTTCGTACATCAGACGCCTGAATTTTTCCGCGTGGAAAAAACAACTTGAAGAGGAGGAGCTACGTGAAATTGACCTCACACCATTACGCTGTCGGCAAGAATCATCCCTTCTTTACCAAGCAAGCACCGCTGACCGTCCGATCTTCTCACCGTTCAACGGCTCTGATTCAATTCTCTCTCCTCCGCTATCAACGGTACAAACTAAACCCAATCAGCACAGTTGATACTGCTGCCACGTACCAGACTTGGCGGGGACTCCCATCTCCACTCTCGTCCTCCTCTCCTCGTCCGCTCAAATTGACCTGCTTAATCTTCTCCAAATCTCGGATTCTCTCATCTAATCTCGAAACCGCATCTACTAATCAATACTACGTCATTTCAGTTCCATTGCCGGATTTAATGAGAAGGTGATTCAGATTATAAACGAAAGATTGTTAGGATTATTGGTACTGAGGCGCGAGAAGCCGAGTCATGGCCGCGAAGACTGACGCGGTGTCTTTTAGGGTTCCGTACAGGAACCTGAAGAAGGAGGCGGAACTGGAAATGGCGACCGTTGTTGATGAGAATCACCACCGGATCGATCTAAATTCTCCAACGTCTTCTTCTTCCTCTTCTCCTCCGATTCCGAATGGGGACTCGATGCATGCTGGGTTAAGGTCGAAGAAATCTAGCTTGAGGATGCTCATTCTTAGTTGTACGGTCGCCGCCGGTGTTCAGTTCGGCTGGGCCTTGCAGCTCTCTCTTCTGACCCCTTACGTCCAGGTATCGTCTGATCTCTATCTGCCACTCGCTCTCACACTCCCTCGGTGTTTGTGTCTATCGCGATCGACTAATTGCTCGTGAATGTTTTGTTTTATATGCATTATTGAGATCTGTTACCGTCATGGCCTTGCAACTGAATTAAAGGAATAGAACAGTTGTTTGAGAAAGAGCTTAAGTTCGATGAATGTCGGTAACTTTATTTCATTTCATGTAGGTCATGTTTTTGAACTTATTGGCTAACATGAGTTCATCATTTAAGTGGTTTCACGATTTGCCGGGGAGGAAAATTAGTAGTTTCATGTATTCTACGAATGAATTTTAACCAGTAATGACATATATTATCATGCGCTTTTTTTACTGGATGCTCCATGGTTGTGCAGTTTCATTCATGGTGTAGCCTGAAACCCGTGGCGATAGTGTATCAAATGCTTAACTCGAGGAATTTCCCAAGAGTATTAAAACAATGATATAACTGAGAACTAATGTTCCTTAAGGGGACATTCTCCCTATCAAATTGGTAGAAGCCCCTTATCCTTTTAGCGGGAGACATGGGCACTGTGCTATGCAAATATAAATGGAAACTTTAGGTGGAAACTTTAGGGGAACAACCAAGAGGATGTTAGAGATAGTAATTTCTCAAATGCCTTTATTATGAACCCGAGTCTCTCACACAGCAAACTTGCTCTCCTATCAGAGAATATCTGTTGGAATTAGTTGATTCATCAATTTTATTTCCTTATGATAGCAAGAATAGATTAATGCAATTATTAATCTTATTGTTTATTTTGTCTTGTTTATTTTTTGAAAATCTTCTCTGAGCAGTTACCTAACTTTGATTCACTTGACTGATTAATGCAGACTCTTGGAATAGGACATGCCTTTTCTTCATTTATTTGGCTCTGTGGCCCAATTACAGGTCTTGTGGTAGGTTAAAAGCTGTTTGATTTTCTAGAACTTGCAACAAGTTAATTTATCTGAGTTGCATATAATTTTGTAGAGAGTTTCTTTGATATTACTTATTGTCATACTCTATCAAATTCTGATAGAGCATTATTGAGTATCAATATAGATTTTTAATATGCTCGTTTAAGATAACATCTGCACTGTGTTATGTTGCTAAGCCAGCATTGTTTTTTAAAATAAAAAGTATAAATTTATTAATGACGCACCAAGGGGGTGCAGTCCGTGCACAAATTTAATTACATGTTCTTTCAAAAAAAATGTTAGTAAGGCAATCCATCATATACCCAAAATTAATTACATTGCTAAGGTAGCATGTCAAGCAGCTCGTGAGAGTGGGGTGACTGGTACAACAAACCTCAAGGCCTTAGAGTTCTGTACTTGATGTTGTTTCTTCAAAAAATTTATTTATGCTTATGCTCCTGCTACAACTATAGCAGTTTACCACATTATTCGCCCTCCTTTCTGAATCTTGATTTCAAATGTGCATGTAGTTTGTAACTTTCTTGTATTATTTAATTGCATTCGATGTAAACTAATTTAATTAACTTCATTATGAACGAGATGTTTTGTGTTGTTAAAGAGGTGAGTTACAGTTGAGTTGGCTATTAGATTTGTTGTTGTCAGGGCTGAGTTTATATGTCAAATATTTTATTCTGCAATCTAATTTTGGATAAAACGTATATGATTCTTGCTCTTTGTATCTTGTATGATTTAGTAATCACTCCCTTTTTCCCCCTTATTTTACCTCGGATTAAGATCTGGCTTCGCTTCATTTATTTGTAAATATTTGTCTGATGCCATGTTTTGAAAATCTCGGACATGCTAAAATATGTTATTTAGTAAATACAAATAAGTATTTTGTTATTTTTGTGAAACCAAATCCTGAAGTAGCTTGATGGTTTTGTCTTCTTCGTCAATAATCAACCAAATGCTTCATATTGGGAAAAAAATATCAGTATATGCATCTCAAAAGGCATTAAGCAACTTCTCTGCAAGAAGTCTGACTTTTGTCTTTTACTTTATTGTGAGGATAAGTGGTGTATAATATGGTGAAGTATTTATACTTCATAGTTAGTTAATACACAAATTATTAACACTTTCAGGAGTTCATTAAAATAAAAGCACTTCCATCTTTTTCCATATTAATCAGTACGGATCATTTTAAAATTTGTTCATTTAATTACACCACATCTCATTCTGTCTACGAGATTATGATTGTATATGGCAACTTGAGTTGAATGTGTTTTGAGTATTAACTGAAGATGGTTTGTTAATCTTTCCCTTTTTCTTTAATGGAAATTTGAAGGAAATAATGAAATGTGAAGTTGTTGATTGCACCTGATTCATAATTTTTTCATATATCATATCCAAAATGGCTATTCTCTTGGTTATTCATGTGATGGCAAAGTATATGGCTGATTATAAAAAAAATGTTTGACCCGCATATCATCTGCGTGATTTATGTTAAATTAGCCTGATCTAATTGCTTTTTGGATTTTAGGTACAACCTTGTGTTGGTATTTGGAGTGATAAATGCTCTTCAAAGTATGGAAGGAGACGACCATTTATTCTTGCAGGGTCTCTGATGATCTCACTTTCTGTAAGCATGAGTGAACTTAACTTTTCATTTGAAATATGCTCTGCATAGTGTTTATACTGGCTAAACAAAGTCTTGCAATTTAGGTGATAATAATCGGGTTTTCTGCAGACATTGGATATCTATTGGGAGATACAAAGGAGCATTGCAGGTTTCTGTTATCCTCTCTCTAACCTCGCCTGATTTCCTTTCATTGAATGTTTCAGATTCAAATTGATATACTTTAATATCTAAATGCAGCACTTTCAAAGGTACTCGTACTAGGGCAGCTTTTATTTTTGTCATTGGCTTCTGGATGCTGGATCTTGCAAATAATACAGTGCAGGTAAAAATATCCATTCTGTTGTGACTGCATTAGACCAGTGCTGTTGACCACCATATCTTTTTATTAGCAGTTATGAAGCTTATACTTTTTTCAGGGACCAGCTCGCGCGCTTCTAGCTGATCTATCAGGTGAGCACCCCTTCTTTCTCCCATCAAATTTCTATTTGGACCAGGTCAAATGTCTTCTTATTTCACTTAATTATGGATTTCAAAAACTGTATGCATATTTATAAAAGAATGACAAGATGCGTATGACTATTTCTTAGGTTCTGATCAACGCAATGCGGCAAATGCTATATTCTGCTCATGGATGGCTGCTGGAAACATTCTAGGATTTTCTGCTGGTGCTAATGGAAATTGGCACAGGTGGAACTCGTGCTTTTCTCATAATATGGTGTTTCTTGGGTACATGTGCCTGTGGTTAGAATTTTTGGTGATTGATTTGTCTCAAACTTGTTTCTGAAATAGATGGTTTCCGTTCCTGAAGAGTAGAGCTTGCTGTGAAGCCTGTGGCAACCTTAAGGCAGCATTTCTTGTTGCAGTGGTGGGTAATGTCCATTAGTTTTCTTTAATCAAAACAAGTAAATTGAAATTTCATACTTTTGTGCTTGCATGGATCTTTCTAGTGTCTATAATAAGACTCCATTGAGGGTAAGTAGTACATTAGTTTTCAATCACATGACACTGTGTTCAATATTGTGGAATATTAAGGGTTCTTTATGATTTATTTCTTGGAAAGTAAACATCACTTACGTCTGGTTGTTTTTGCTATAATTGAACCGGAAATCATGTCCATGCTGTTTATACTGTCCACCTGCTACTTTTAGAATTTTCTATCCATAAGTTTGTTGCCATCATGTTCAATTTCTTGTTGTTAACCCATACTTTCTGCTAAGATGACTAGAACTATGTTAGTTCTCTTGATATCTTTGGTGAGGGATGGAGATCGGGAGACCTTTTGGTTCATAGTTTACTTGATAGTACTTATGTGGTCCCCTGGTGACTGATTAAAGACATCATTTTCATTTACTAGGGCTCTAGCCAAATGGTCATGTACTGGCCTCTTCATGGCTCTAGACCTGCTTTCTGTTTTCTTCCCTGTTTGAGTATCTCTTTATTTCATTCAGTTGATTTTTCAAGTGGAACTTTTGATTAATGCCCTTTCTTTTGTGGAATTTAATCAAGGAAGCTAGCATAGCATATTGAAAAGATACTTTGACATTTTTCTATGTAAGATGTATATACATATATATATATATATTTGAGATAAAAAGTGTGAAGTGTGTATTGACAAGGTACCAAAAGGGGGTGCCAGCCCATGTACAAAAATATATATATTTTAATGATACTCAACAATTTCTCTATTCATATAACCATTAAATGCTAATTCACCATCCTCACCAGTTATATATACAATTGGAAAATCTGATTCATAGTTTGATTGGTATCCATGGTTTTTAAAATTTTTAGAAATGGTGGTTGTTTTGCTAAGTCAAATTTATGACTGATAAAATCTTAAATAAAATTATTTTTTGAAGAGGAATTAGATGTTGAGATGGTAGAATAAAAACATTTTGATAGGAATTTAATAACCCATGAATGTCAATTCAGCTATAAATTGGATGCTCCGATTGAATATACAATTGGAGAGGATTAAAATCTGTCTTTAGCCTGAGGTACTCCATCTTTTTGTAAAAGGATTAAGATGTTTCACATTTGTCTCTTTGTTCAATTGAGAGTTCTGATTATTGCCATTTTCTGTTGATGGGTAGATCCTTTTCTAATTTGTGTAAATGTAATTGGTGCTTTTCCAGGTATTCCTCACTTTATGTACTCTTGTGACTATATATTTTGCGGATGAGGTTCCGCTATCTGCAAATCTCTCAAAAAATTTATCAGATTCTGCTCCGTTGTTAGATGATTGTCCAAAAAATAGTGTAGATATTTCAAAATCTACACATGGTATGCAAGTTGATGCCAGTGCTAATGGAAACAATCCTGGGAGCAACTATGAACAAGATATAAGTCTAAGGCAGGTCAACTCAACAATTGAAGGTCAAAATGGAGATTTCAATGATGGACCTGGAGCTGTAATTGTCAATTTCTTGACCAGTTTAAGGCATTTACCACCGGCTATGCATCCAGTGTTAATTGTTATGGCTTTTAGCTGGGTAAGTGCTTGAATCGTTGTGCATTAGCAATTTGTTACAAAAATTCCATGGTGCCTTTGAAGTGGCTGATGATTGTTTTTGCTTATACACCTGTTATTAAATTCTCTGGAGAATGGTTCCAACTGGGAGCTTCTTTTAACTTTTCTTTTTCACTTTGTATTTCTCCTGTTTTCATTTGGGACCATGATTTTACATGCAGCTGTCCTGGTTCCCCTTCTTTCTTTTTGATACGGATTGGATGGGAAGAGAAGTTTATCATGGTGATCCAAAAGGCAATTCTTCAGAAGTGAAACTGTATGATCAAGGTGTTCGAGAAGGTGCATTTGGTTTGCTATTGAATTCAGTAAGAATCAGTTTGGCCATTAATAGTTTAAGCTTATCTAGAAATCTGTTACACTTAATTCAAACTAAAATCAGGACAATGAAAATTTGTGAAGTATTCCTTTCTTTTGAATAATTTTTTTTAAAATCTTCCCACATGTTAATTTTGTTTTCATCATGTCTTGTAGGTTGTTCTTGGCATTAGTTCATTCTTCATTGAACCAATGTGTCAGCGGCTGGGTGCCAGAGTTGTTTGGGCAATTAGCAATTTCATTGTCTTTGCCTGCATGGCGAGCACGGCTGTAATTAGTTTGATATCTGTGGAAGAATATTCCAAAGGGATTGAACATGTAATTGGAGGGAATGGAGTAATAAAGATCGCTTCCTTGGTTTTATTTGCTCTTCTTGGCTTTCCTCTCTCTGTATGTATCAGTTTTTCTTCAATGAATCTGTGTTAATCTGTATCAATTCAGATAAGAAGCCATTTTGCTTTAACTGTTTTCTGTTTCGTTTGTACAGATTACTTATAGTGTACCCTTTTCTGTCACGGCAGAGGTCACGGCTGATTCAGGTGGTGGCCAAGGTTGGTACCAAACATTTTTTATCCAACAATTCTTTGTACATTACATGGTTTTGGCAAATTGATTGGAGTGACTTTATGACATTGCAGGATTGGCTATAGGAGTTCTGAATCTTGCAATAGTTATTCCACAAGTATGTATATTTAGCATTTTCATAAGTATCTGGTATGCAAATTTTCTAATGTTTCCTTGTTTGAATGAAGGCCTTGCACTTAATAAACACATCTATCAATCCTTTCAAATTCCCCTCATAGAACAGTCGAGCTGTTTAGTTATACATGCTTAGTTCATTTTTAGTTCATTTGTTGACATAATTGGAATTGTATATGCTAGACAATTGAATAGATCCCCATGTTCATAATCTTTTACTGATTCTGGAATAAACAAAGGCTCAAATTTTTCATGTTAATTTTCTGGATACCAGGGCCATAGACCCATTTTGTGCCCTTGATTGGAAAAGACTTCCTTTCAGGTCATTATTTTTAACTGGTTATTAGTTTTGCATAATATCCCCAAGAACCTGTTCTGTTTTTTCTTCTCCCCCCTCCTAATCACAGTTTTGCCTGCAAAAAGATCAGGAATTCTCCTGCTTCTATATTCTTATGACCCTTGTCATATCTTACTGGTGCGCATCAGAAGTAGAAGCATCATTGACGAGGAAGGAAAATTAAATAGATTATTCTACCGTTTCTTTTTCTCTCCCTGGTGAAAGATGGTCTGCTTGCTTATAGGATGTTTTTTCAGTTAAAGCTGATTTCATTCATGTGTTTTTTTGTTTAGATGATTGTGTCTCTTGGTGCGGGTCCATGGGATGCTCTATTTGGTGGTGGAAATATTCCTGCATTTGTTTTGGCAGCCTTCTGTGCCCTCGCAGCTGGCATTATTGCAATCCTCAAGCTGCCAACTCTTTCCAGCGGTTCATTCAAGTCATCTGGCTTTCACTTTGGTTAAAGGCAAACAACTTGTCATTACGGCAAGAAGCATGTTGTATAAGGTGGTCGGTATCCCCGTGAAATGCCTGGGCAATACACCTTCGGAGAGTGGCGCTATTCATATGCATACAAATATTTCATATCAAAAGCTCTATGCATTACATATTCAATTCATTAATTTTTTCCCCACTTGTGGGCATCTGTAGCTAGTTTAGAGTGTAACATGCATTATATTGGAAGGCGTAAAGAATGACCGAGTATAATTGCTAGCTCTACAATTTTTTAGAAGATTTGAGTTTTTCACTTGAAGTTATACGGGATATATTATTCTCATAGCTTTGTAACAATTATTGCTTGTGGATCATCTGATTCTTATCATACCCATGTATGAAGTGAAACATTTAACAGTTGCCATATGGATTGATCCTGTATTCCGACAGCCTCTTTCAAATCTACTCGGTGGTTTTTGCTTTTCTTACATTCAATATTATCTGTAATTTAATTTACATATTTTTCTGATTAAATTAATGATGAATTTGTAAGTACGTTTTGCGTAATTTCTAGATTTGTTTGAAATAAATAAAGGGCAGAATTTCTTTTATATTTTAAAATATATGTGATATGAAATTGGTAGGACATTTATAAGTAGGTTGTAAAGTTGATTGGATTGAATAGGTTAATAAAGATGGTGGAAGATGCATGTATGATGGATGGTTGGCAGGGGCCATGGTGGGGTTGGGTGTAATCTAAAAGTGATACCAGAAAGGGTTGACATGCTCCCCCCCTCCTCCCCGATTGATTTACACAACGCTCAAGTTGAAGTTTGGAAGAAGAAGATGAAGAAGAAGAAGAAGAAGAGAAACAAATTTGCCACCACCACATATTTCAAACGTAATTGGTGGAAAAAGCAGAGAGAGAGAGAAAGTCGTCACTTAAAATTGACAGTACATATACATATATATATATATATATGTATGTATATATTGTTGGGACAAAAATAAACTCAAAGAAAAATAGAAAATAAACAAATTTTTTTTAGCTAATTGACTAATTTTTAAATAAACAAATTATAACCAAAAAAAAAAATTAATACAAATAAAAATTTATCATAATTTTAAATGATATGAATAATTCATATAGATAAAATTCATCACTTATTATTTTTATAAATATTAAATAAAATTTTTATAGACAAAATTTATCACTTATTAATTTTTTTTATGGAATACATAATTTAAATTAATTAAAATTCTAATAAAGGATAATACTAAATTTGTTTAACATATATATATATATATATGTATATGTATATTGGACCCGTTTATTCTTTTTTGGGAAAATAGACACTACGCCAACTTGTGATTTGTGATTTCAATTTTGAACTTACCCACTGCAATTTAAATACATTATATATATACATATATATGTTGTGATTTATAGTTTGAAATTCCATTTTTTTTTTTTGGTTTATAAAAATATATAAATATATAGTTTGTGATGATGATGATGATGATGATGAGGATGAGGAGAACAAAGCGTGGGTAAAAGAAGGCGAATCCAAAGAGGAGTTGGGTTAATTTGGAGGCCCACCGCCCTTGACAAACCCACGAGCTCAAATTTTTCATTAACAAAACATAACTCAACCGGTTGTTCATACATCATAGTCATCCCCCCATATACATATATATATATATATATATATACACACATATATATTATTTTTAAATATGAATAATAAATATTTATATTTAAAAGAAGAAGAAGAAGAAGAGAGAATGACTTCTAGCATGAGAAGAGGGCACATGGGATCAGTCTAAGCTGTGCTCACCTCAAGCAATGTGGGATGTGGATATCAAGCCTTAATTCAGTCTCTCCTTATCTTAAACTTCTTTTTTGTTTCTTAATTCCCAAAATATACATACACAATATATATATATATATATATTTAGATATAGATAACGAGGACATACGATATATATGTGGGGGAAAATTTAAAAAAATAAGATAATTTTAGGTAAATTTTATTAAAAATTAGAGAAAGAACGAGAAAAAAAACTAATATAAAGATTTAATTTTTTTAAAATTGTGTTTATTACTATAAATCTTCGAATACATGAATATATATATAAATTCTAATACAATTTTTAAATTTCTAATACACAAGTTATAATTACTCCAATATGTGAACTATAATTAAATTTAATATACGAATTATAATTAAACATAACGCATGAATAATTTATATTTAATTTAACTTTTTTGAGAAGATAAAGAGTTTAAAATTTATAAATTATTATTTTTAATAATATATATATATATATATATTTCTATATGTATGTAACAGATTTCAAGTAACATGGATTTCCACCCCATTCCAATGGCAAACCCTTCAGCTTCCAACTAATAAACTCGTGTGGTGGTCTCAGTGTCTCAGCCTTTGCTTGTCCCTTCGCCTTTCTCCTCCGCCCCCCCTCCAAAATAATATTTAATTTGATTCTTAAAATATTTAAATTGCTTGGGTCTACACAGATCATGATGATGATATGATGATGATGATGATGATGATGATAAGCAGATTGATGGGGCCCGCATGGGCTTGTAGATACATCCCCGGTGTATAATCATTTCCTGCAGATACATGCCCATCAAAACTCCCATTTCCCACTTATATTTTCATAACTCCCTCTCCCTCTCCCCATCCCATGCATGCACTCATCTCTTTAATTCCAATACCCTTCACCTTATACACACACACACACACATACACATATATTACCTACTTCTATGTATGTGTATGCCCAATTGCATGTACACATACCGTGATATGGGAGAGAAGGAGATTGAGAAGAATTAATATAAGAGTTTGTGGGATAAATGTTATTAACATAAAGTTGGTACATATATGTGTGTGTGTGTGTATATATCTATAGGTTAGATTGGTGAGGGTGGAAGTGCATGGGAAGATAGAATCATGGCATGCCTTGAAATCTAACATTGAATATAATATATGTCATCAGCATAAGAAAACGGGCAACCCATTACATCATCTGGCTAAGAATGTATTATGTACGTGGGTGGGTGAGTTAGCCATGCATGTTTTGGGGCCAGGTGTGTTGGATACCTGAATTCTTTCAATGGGCCCTCCCCTGTATGCTTTATTAATTGCTCCATCCTATGAACCGAACTTCTTCTGAACATATATATATATATATATACACAAACAAATACACATGTATATATATAAATGTATGTATAGATTGCAAATTCAATAGTGAAACTCTTGGTAATTCTTGGCTTGCTAACCTAGCTAACTAGTGTTTGTTTTCCTCTCTACAGATGGTCGTAGATTCTCTCTCTTTTTACTCTTTAAAGTGGAAAGTTGAAAGTACAATTAAGATTCATGAATATACAATAACTTCACCATCTCATCTTATATATATACTTCTCAAAGCCCCCCACAAATCAAATTGCACCCTTTACTAGTAGTAGCTGACGAGCTAGTAATATATATATATATATATATATATGTGTGTGTGTGTGTATATGCAGGTTAAAAATATGGTATATGTATAGATTGGAGGCGAATTTAATTCTTGAACGTAGCTTCTCCCATTTGTGTAAAAAATTTTCGTTCGTGTATTGATGTTTCATTATGGTCTTTTGGTGGATTGAGGGACAAAATCATGGTGGAATATGAAATTGATTCTCAAACCTTATTTTCTTCCATCTATTTAGTAACTCTCATTTTCCAAACCTCAAGTTTATTTGGAAAAGTGTGAAAGGTTAGTACAAGGGTTGAATTAGAATAGCACATGGTTTCGGATGTGAATATCATGATTGACAAATCTAAAATTCTCTTCCTAAGAAATTAGGAATTATGCTTGCATTTATATCTAAGTGAAATATACGTATGTGTATTAATGTGTATGCGTATCTATGTACAGATATGTAACACGCACAAAAAAACAGTGTCCTTATTTTGAACTTATCATGGCTGAGGAGCATATTTTGCAAATCAATTCATAAAGTCAAAATAAAATATATCGTGCAACAATTTCAAAAGAAAGATAAACTCAACAATCATTCATTATGA